AATCCAACAAAAGGTGGATGTTCCAAGGAACGCAGCAAAGAGGACCGCTGGTAAAATCTGCCACCAACTTGTTGCTTGCTCAACGTGCGAATTTAAAGAGAACGACCCTATTTTCGGCAATTCACCAGGTGAGCTCCTATGAAAAATTACCCAGAATTCTCTGTTTTCCAAGATGCCCTCTGGTGCCAGATTTCCGGTCTTGACCAGGAAAACGGGATAAGCAGCTTTAAACGAACAACCCAAATCACATTGATGACCAACAAAACCCAAAGTTGTTATCTAATTTTGTTCCCCAACACTAATTAATTAATTAATAATCATCATCTACCCGGTTTTTAGTCTAAAAACTATCAAAATAACCACCTGTTCAGAGATAGCAACGTAAAGTCCGTGGCATGGTTCTTGAGCTGTGACTACTGAATAGACGGAGGGGACAATGGGCTACTGCTGCGTTGTCATATCAATAATATTTATTAATACATGAAAATTGCAATAAAATTTCCTTCATTTTCATGTATTAATAAATATTATTGATATGACAACGCAGCAATAGCCCATTGTCCCCTCTGTCTATTCAGTAGTCGTAGCTCAAGAACCATGCCAGAATATTCATCATCTACCCCGGGTTTTAGTCTAAAAACTATCAAAATAACCACTCGTTCAGTGATAGGAACACGATAGCAATAAAGGTCAAGAAACCTCGGCAACAGCGCTTCCTGAAAATGATCAACAAGTGTTTCATAACCACACTTATTCGGGGAAAATAAATAACCGGGAAAATGTATATATTAGTGGAAATTAGGGAGAAACATCGATTTAAAGGGTGTGAAAGTGATTTGTGGTGTTGCAGAATTTTAAATAATGGAAAATACGAGACTCGTAAGTGTTGCCAATTGATATTTATTTGAAAGTAAACAAACATTTTCATTAACAGTTAGGGCTTTTTAGACAACTTTCGTAAGCTAAATAGAATAGATTTTGCTACTAGAGGGTTTTATTATCCTAAAACTACCCTATCATCTGAATACAAAGAATTAACTCAGTATTACCTCGAAAAATATACCTTTGTTCAACACCCACATATTGTTTCGCATTCAAACAAAAAGGTAGAAATCTAGTAATATCCAATGAGAAACATATCAATCACCAAAAAATATTAATCCTCAGGTATAAAGCTTCATAAATACCCTCACAAATACTTGAATTAATTAGTGAATTTATTCGAAATTCCAGTTACGTACTAAGGCAAAATTTGTACGTAACACCTTTGGACTACAGATTGTGAATAGACTATAGCTCTGTTCCAACAGACATGAGAACCGTTCCAAAACTAGTAATTTCCAGTTGCCTACTTATTTTTCAATAAGTTGAACGTTTATCCTAATTAAAAAATAAATTGCTCGACTGGAAATTACCGTTCTAGAACGGTTCTCATGTCTGTTAAAACAAAGCTAATATTAAAAAGTTTATACTTTGGATAGAAGAAAAATTCCCTACTCATCCTTCCGATCCGAGTCCGATCGAACAATCGGACGAGTGTCTGAGAGGGAAATGGTACTACACTTTAAACAACGTAGTTCATACCTTTCCGGCACCATCCCCACTCCCACTCAACTCCAATCCTCGCCCTTCTTTTCTCTTTTGCTATGTTTTCCCTATTCTTTCGAGTTGTTTCTTCGTTTCTTCGTTTCCTTCTCTAACTTTTGTCCCAGATATTCAGGTTTTTTTCGACAATTTCTTTCTCCCAATTTAATTTCAGCTTTTTCTCTCGCTCTTTTTCCTATATCTCGTTTTCTGTCGGAAATTTTCTCTCGACGTTTTTTTTTCCACGCTCTTTTTGAACCTGTTTTTGGATGACATTTTTCTGGTATTGTTGTGATGTCTGGCATTGAACGTTGTGTTGGCTTGGACAATCTTGAAAATGTTTGTTTCAAGTGCAAAATAGTGTTCGATGATTAGAAATTGAAATACAATGTTCGGTCTGCAGCAGTTACTATTATGGGAAATGCGAAAAGATCGATATGCGAGGTTTTCACATAAAAAAGTCTACTTGCAAATGTTCCATATGTGATCCGTTGCCACATGAGGTTATAACAGAGGTAAGAGTATGAAAAAACGAACCGAACGGAAGATAGTTATTTGGATCGAAGTGTTGAAATTGAAATTCATGAAACATTGAAATATTTGGTCAACACCACAGAGGAATTGCAGGAAAAAATCGATTGATTGGTAACAGAAAATATTAACCTAAAAAAAATAAATCTAAAGGGGGTTTTGACAGCCCCTCCTCCTGTTTTGCCTGCATCATCAGCATCTAACTTAAAACCTATTCAGCTGTAACCAAACAAAAACAAGACCACAAAATATTGGTAGTTAAACAAAAACAGGGTTCTTCTCGAAAGGACGTGAAACAAATAAAAGATGATTTATTTACCAAGGTGATTCCAAGTGATATTGGAGCTGAGGTTACAATGGGCAGCCTCACGAGAGATGGGGGTCTCATTCTAAGTTGTGCAAACCAAAAATCAGTTGCAAGTGTATAGTCATAAATCCAGAGTAAACTTGGTAATAACTATGATGTTGATGGGCCAAAATTATTGGAAAAACTTATCAAAGTTATTGGAATTAATGAATGTGAATTTAACATTAGCGTAGAAGAAATTGTATCGAAAGTGGTGAACCAAAACGACCTGGACCCGAATACAAAGTTAAAAATACGGTACAGATCAAAAGTTCATAAGAGTAGACTTCAAAGAAACAAATTTATCAACTACCGCAGTTAGATGCAAATATTGTCATAAACTCCAGTGTTGTGTATTTCAATTGCCAGTGCTATCTCAACATTAAAGACAATATTACTGTTCTCATCAGAAACCCATGTAACTGAAAATGTTGATCCAATAGAACTGAAGATTGATGGATATAATTTGGAACAATGTGTAACAACTAACCGTAAAACTGGGGGAGTCATGGCCCTAATAAGAACTGACGTTAAATATAAAATCAAAATAGTGCAGAACTATGTATAGTTGTTATCTCTTTAACTAGGTTCAACAAATTCGAAGTTTCTATGCACCGTATTGTACCATCCGCCCCAGAAAGAAAATGCAAATTTTGTTGACTTGTTTGTAGATTGCCTTGATCGTGAGTGTTTTTAAGGGTACTAATGTTATAATGGGTGATTTCAATTTTTTGGTGTACCTCAAGGAACTGTTTTGTGTGCTTGGTAAAAGATCAAGAATAAGGGATATTGATGTAGATAACATCAACATCAGCATGAATAATGGAGTTTTGGCACATGAGAACGGGATTAAGTACTTGGGAGTAATTTTGGATTCAAATTTAAATTTCCAGGCTCATGCTGACTATGTTATGAGAAAATTTTCCTAAAAGGTTGGTTTTCTTTCAAGGGTGGGAAATAGTTTGTTGATTGGCACAAGGATGTTATTGTATAATATCATTGCACTACCCCATTTACAGTTTTGTTCCACACTTTTGTATGCATTGCCTGCTTTCAAGGTGAAGCAAATCCAAAAAATACAGAACAGGGCTATGAGGGTGATTCTGGAATGCAATCGATATACTCCTTTCAGGGTTATGCACGATGTTTTGAATGTGCTGTCTGTTAGACAGAAGATTATTTCTAATGTGTATGTATTTGTATTTAAGATTAAGAGAGGGTTACTACCAAATTATATCTGTGATAGAACCATTATACAGAGGATATATGTTACTTCTATTGGAGCAAAATATAGCTATTGATTCAGCCAGTGAGATTAAGGGCAGTTGGACATGTCAAGCTGGGTAAAAAAAAAAAAAAACGGCAGCTGAGTAAGCAAAATTGCTGAATAAACTCCTATAATAAATGTCCATTATTAGAATAATCTTCTCTCAATTAGTCAGGAACGGTTTGGTCAAAAACTGAAAAGAAAAAAACATATTCCAACCAATAAATTGTATCCAGGATCACCATGTACCGTGTAATGGCTTTATTCAGAGGCATATATCTTTCAGAACGAAAACATAAAAGCGGAGATCAGAAGATATTAGTGTCGTAAATCAAAGTCGGTCGGTGGTGTATTAAAGCAAAACTTTTTGCCGATATTTGATACATGTGCCGTGAACAACGACGTAGCGTCGGCCGTAATAACGCACCGTCCTCTCTGATACAGGGGGCTTATCGTGTTCAAAGCCACCGGTTTTTGCCTCCGATATCTATTTCTACTTGTGTGAACACGCTCGCGTATAATATGATACTTTACAAAGTTTTTTTTTGTGTAAACACCCCTACAAAGCCCAAAAAAAAAGGATTTACAAAATCCATCAATATTTGCTATCTTTCAAAATATAATCTGAACAAACGAATTATTTTTTGTCTTATTTGCTTGGGATATAATATATAAACCTAATTGACGTGATGCTTATTTTCTCCCTCGCAATGAACTTGTTCAAAAAGCTTAAGAGACCCTTTTGGCATAAAGGCAGCTGGACATTGATAGATAGGCAGGCAGACATATAGGACAAAAAAATACATTATTTTGATAGGTGGTTCAACATTCATTCAAATAGGATTTGCAATTTCCCATTTTAATTTAGACTATAGCTAGGAAATAGTCCGCATAGTGCAGTGCCAGATTGCAAAAATACACGCAAGACTGACCACTGACGGAATGCACGTTCGGCAAACTAAAATTGTACGATTGAGTAGTTCCGTATTATGCGAAATGCCGTATTTTTGGTCTTTTGTTCGAAATGATTCGATTTACTAATTGTTTTTTGCGTCGTTACTAGATTAGGTAAAATCTATGCGTTCGAACTCCGAAATACCACACATAAGTTAAATAAGGGCTCGGACCGCAAAAGGATTACTCGAACTTCTCCTGTCGACCACAAAATTACCCGAATAAATTTCAGTATTATTTAAATGCGATGTGCGGCAATTAAGTTAAAATTTAACAAGGTGGAAACATTATTTATACCCATAATAATATTTTTTTCAGCTCAGCAATCGGCATCAGATAATGAGTCTTCCCTGAGCGACGATGATAGCGATGATGGTCAGCAATCCCATCCACAAAACCGTGCTCCTAAGAAAAATGTCTCTAAGAGAAATAGCAAAAAGGACGCAAAGAACAAGAGACCCAAACAGATTCCATTTTCCAGAGCCAAAATCGTGGAAATTCTCATCAAGGTTGAACAAATCAGCGAGGGTAAGTGTATTGTTTAAAAACGTAGTTTAATTGCTAAATTTGATATATGATTCTCATAAAAAATGTTCAAAAACTATGATATTTGAAAAATGTAATGTAATTTTTCCGCGTTTTAAAAACAAATAAAAAACCAATTAATATTGCTTTGGTTTTATTAAACTGGTGCTTTTACAGATTTTTATTTTTCAAAGGGATTAAATTCTGCAAAAGGAAATTGCGTTACGTATTCCATTTTTTTTCAATTTTAATTAATCTGAAGCTTTACAATAAAATTTCCAGGATAGTTAACGCAAAAAGCTGCCTTTTTCCTATATCCACTATAGCTCGAGTCTAATCAGATTAGATTTATTAAAATTTGAATCAATTTATTTTATTTTTTTTTCATCATTAAAATACTGCAGCCTTTTCTCTAATCTAATAATCCGGCTCAGATATTTAATTATCCAAAAGTAAATCTAGTCTAGGCAAAACTCGACTTTTATCCGCGCTGCCTAATTTCGAAACGGCATCACATCAGACGTTATCGTCGTCGTCTCTCGCTCGTTCCGAATCCGGATAATATTAATTATAATAAGTCATTCTCTAGAAATGCGGGAATCGCTCGAGTGGCTGAAAGAGAGTTTGGGCGACGCCATCGAAGACTACGAGACGGAAAACGACGGCGAAGGTATTCCATTAGTTCCGGTAATGGATTATGCCGAGGCCGCTATGGAAAACGACGAGTTCCTGCAACTACTCAAAGCGTTCGGTGTCTGTCCTCCGTTCGAAGAACAGGTGAGTTTGGTTTAATTAAATAATTTTACGTCAACAGCTGAACAGTGACTGTAATTAAACGCAAATAATTCAGATCATTGTATGAATATAGTTTGGAGAGTTGTTGAGATGCAAAAATGGCATCCACTTGTAGCTTTGTGTTTTGTGTTGTCTTGCCACTATTTTTTGGGATTCCTCACACTTCTTTTCTCACCCTGTTCAACATCTAGTCAATTGGTTCCTGCATTATTCGTCATTTCTGAATATATGACCGGCCGAGCCTAATTTCAAGGTACCCTCTAATGGACCAATATAAAAAAAAGAAAATTCCTCAGAAGTAGGTGATGGTTACTTTCTCCATACTTTCTTTACAGGTTTCTCAAACTGACTGATTCCTAAGAGTAAGTTTATGGGTGTACTAAATTCTTCTGTGGCTTGTGCGGTAATGATTTTTGAAGCTTTCATTCTATATCCAGTAGCTAATTGATTAGTTGCTTTTTCAACCTCCCTTTTTACAGCTTCTAGCGATTGTTCGGTTCCTGCTTTTCTTCTTTTCACATTGGTCGGGTTCATCAGGACGTAGCGCTACAATAGCGATCATCAGCAGTGTTGCCAAATTATTACAATTGTGGCAAATTTTATCCCTGTTCTTCTCACCAAAAGGAAAAAAAGATGGAAAATGATCCGAGCGCTCAGTGTTTCAAGCGGAACTCATTAATTTTAATAATTTTTGGTTAAATAAGTGAAAATATAATAGATTTATTGGAAATGTAATAATGTAAATAATTACCCTTTGATAAATGTAATAGATTTGCTACATTTGTAATAAACTGGCAACACTGTAGATGTTCGCTACTGTAGCGCTCTGTCCTGATGAACCCGACCATTGATTCCTCAGAGGTAGCCTTCAACAGCTTGAAGTAACTGATAAGTTAATTGATTTTCAACAATCTTCAGTACCTACTAGAAGTCAGTGCAATTACTCCCTCTTCTGATGATGGGTTTTAGAGCTCTCTTTTCAAATTGATTTTTCACCAACCCTACAAGCTTCTTCCAAAGCTTATAGTATTGCTTCTTGCAGCTCCTCCTGGATTATTTTCTCAGAAATAACTACTTGTAATGGATTTTGAAACTGATTTTGAAGGAGGAGTAGTAAGGTAAAGTAGGTACTCAATTGTTGACAGGGTCCCAAAAGTTGACACATTAGCATAATATTCCCGAAATTAAGAATTTATAGAGGTTATTAGCTAACCGTAATAGCTTATAGTGTTACTGGAGCCATCTTGCGTGCTATATCTGATGTATGTATTTGACATCACTAGCTGATTTAAAATGGGGGCAAGTAATAGTAAACAGGTGCAATTGTTTGAACTTGTTTCCGGATTTCTAGTGAAAGTAATAAAGAAGATATAAAAACAAAAGTTCTCACTATATGATAAGATATATTGTAATAAATATTTATTATTGTTTTATCTTTTAAATAACCGGAAAAAAACTTTTTAAAGGGGAGTGTCAACTATTGAAGCCCAAATCTATATGATACACAAATGTTGACACTAGTGTCAACTAATGGATATACTGAATTGAGAAGAAACTTAGATATAGGTTTGGGATTGGTTTAGGCAATGTGATGGTCGCAGACCAATAGGTGACACCATTGTCACCCCTGTCACAATGTTTCACAATTCTTCTCATAACAGTTTTTGGAGGAAAAATTCCAATTTGAAGATAAGTCAATATATTTTTTTTTTAATCATCTCTATTTGATGTAATTCATAACTTTCTTATTAGAGGCTCAAATAATTTGATTTTTTAGTATATTTTTTCTTATTAAAACCTCTGCAATAAATCCTCAAAATTTCAATTTTTTCCTTCGATTAGTTTTTGGGGATTTTTTTTGTTGCAGATTAAGCAGATTTTCTTCATAAATAAATCATCTCCATGTGATTGTTACCTACAGATACGATCCGTGACATTTACTGACTAATTATGGTCTCCTTGACATTCCTTATAACACCAAAAACCTCTTCTTTAACGCCATTCACCATAGCCTTTGTCACTAACAAGGAGGGACGATATATTGAGAAGAGGTTAACCCAATACATGACACTCCTTCCTCCTGGGTCCTTATTCTTGAAACAGGAGAGCATCGTTCCCAGGAGAATGATTGTTCCCTCTTTTTTTGATAATATGCAACTGATAATATAAGTAACAAAGACGGAACATTCGTTCTCCTGGAAACGCTGCTTCTCTGTGTCAAGAATCAGGACCCTGGATGAAATAGTATAATCACCAAGATAGGCTAGTGGATGCCTAATCCTGGCTGGACGATTGAACAGGGAACTCCTTTTGGGCTCGTCTTACAATGCAGGGACTGATATCTTTGGCACTTGCTCTGGTATCTTGACCTCACCTCAATGTTGTCGTCCACTGGTGGGCATTAGACTGACCCCTAATAGCACATAACATTCCATGTACATTCGCAGAACATACATTTTGGACATAAGGAACATTCCATGAATGTCTCCGAATGTTCCAAGACATTCCAGGAACATTCAGGGAAAAGCCTTTGTCAGCACTTTGAATGTTCCGTGAACATTTTATTGAACATTCACCGAATATGTTCGTATGTTCTACAGACATTCAGGGAATATTTTTTGGATTTACTTAGGATATATACCAGAAATGTTTGGTTGGGTACATTCAAAATCATACACAGTTATTATATGATATATTATATATATTATATATATATATATATATATATATATATATATATATATATATATATATATATATATATTATATTATATATATTATTATAGATACATTATTATACATATCCAGAGAAATGGAAGAAACAAAAGATTAATTCTTTACAAAAAAGAAGTTACTATGAAATTGTTACAGAAAAAATTAATAAAAATGATTGCTTATTATTTCTAGGGTACTTTGTTACTATAAAGCACAAGCACTCCGGCTAACTGAACATAAAATTTATCAACTATTAAAGCACTAGCCCTCTGGGCCGGGGCCAACTAAACAGAAAATTTACCAAAACACAAAAAGATGCTATAATGTAGACCATAACCTCAAATACCTAGGTACACCCAGAGTTATTATTCTAGAACATTTAATTTGCCGTCGAACGTGGAACACAAATCAATAATTGATTGTTAGTTATTAATGATCACTAGACACAATCACGGCACAAATTCATCATACAATCCATGGATGACCAGTCTATCTTTGTCTAGTTCATAGAAAACCGGAATGGCTGTTTCATGATAGTGGATCAAATAGATATGGTAAATAAAAATGACGTGAAACGATTGATATTCATACGCCAAAAAGGCGCTATATTTAAAAAAGAAAATAAAAACTTACTAGCGGACGTTTTCATGGTTTTTATAGGTTTTTATGTGTTTTCAAATATAAAATATAGGTAGAAGTACAAAATGAATAATTATTAGAGTATATTGCGCTAACTCTGATGATGTGGATTTTACTAATTACGTAATTGATAAAATTGGATCAAAAATGTATTGAGTTTAATTTGCCCTATTTTTATCATTATAATTTCAAAAATACACATCTATTTAATTTTTTTTTTTTACAAACTCAGTGCATAAAACTGATCCTCCTGCAGAAATATTCCTTGAACATTCATTTTATGTCTAAAAAATCTTGACTTTCGTAGAACATTCATAGAATATGCTGATAAAATATTCTGTGAACATACCTAAAAAGATATTCCAGGAACATTCCTTCAATGTCTAGGACATTCAAACTTTCACAGGACTTTGCTGGAACATTCTCTGAATTTTTTTTTGTGCTATTAGGGACTTATATCTGCCCGTATATCCGTAATATCTCTGGCACGTAGCTGGTCTGTGTGACGTTTAACGATTTTACCGTCTGGGGTTGCCACTTTGTAGTTTACTGGTCCTGTTGCTTCTACTTTTGATGCAGCCACCCATTTTGATCCTGAGGTGTAAACTGAATCATTTTCATGAAACATTCTCACAGGTTTTGGATGATATGCTGTTTCTTGTTTTGATTTCATATCACTAGAAAAATCGGGAACAACTCTATCCAACAAAATAATCAATCTTCGACCCATGAGAATCTCAGCTGAAGATTTTCCTGTCATAGCATGAGTTGTAATATGTTGTGTCGATAGGTATCTACTAAGTGGAATCGTAAATTTTTTTCCTACAAAATTTCTAAACATCAGCACGTTGCTATTATACTTGGTGGATACGGAGCGACCAAAGCTTGCCTTATCCCATTGCTCTGCAGAAATTCTTGGAAATGCGAAGCGGTAAAACCAGATCCATTATCGGACACACAAATCTCTGGAATTCCATGTGTGGCAAATAATTCTCTGCGCACTTTGTGGCTGCGGTTGATGTGCTTGGAACTTTTCTCACTTCAAGCCATTTGGAAAAAGAATTAACCACTATAAGAAAGTGATTTCTATCTAAAGGTCTTGCATGTTCAATGTGAATTTTTTGCCAGGGATAGAGAGATCACTCCCATATGGGTGGGTCGGTGTTCTGTTAGGCATATTCATTTTCTTTCATTTACTAGGTTTTCCATTTGTTTATCCAGGTTAGGCCACCACATATACGACCTTGCTAAGCCCTTCATCTTTACTATGCCCGGGCGCGCTGAATGTAGGATTTCCAATAACCTTTTCCTCCCTCCTGGGTGGCATGATTACTCTAGTATATTATTTTCAAACTTTTTTTTTTTTTATTTATGTTCACCTTGTTCCAATTGACTTTGGAAATACTATACCCCAAAGTAGGCCTTGATAACATGTAATCTCGTTGTTTCTTTGTAAATAGGACGAAAACTCGGAGCTAAATTGTGTATGATTTTTATTATAAGGCCATGCCCATTGGAGAACTTTAGACAAAATTGGGTCTTTTTTTTTGTTCCGACAGCTATTTCTTTAGCATTATAAATTTTCTGTGGTATATTTTCCAACATCAACGCATCGTCAAATGGAGGGGGTTCTGAAAACCTGGCCTTCACAGGTAGCCTGCTCAAAACGTCAGCATTTTTAATACTATTACCTGGAGTATATTAATAATGCCCGTATTACATCTGTGTATTTTTCCGTGTATTTATTCATGTAGTTCAGGGTGACAACCGAAAAACTTCAAACGCAACATAAATCAGCATTATGAAAAACAAAATAATGTTGTCATCCTGAACTACATGAATAAATACACGGAAAAATACACAGATGTAATACGGGCATTAGTTATAGCTGTAAACATTTAATGAGGTGGAAGGTAAACTGCGGAGCTAAAGCAATAAAATATATCATGGTCAAAAAAGGTACAAGTAAATTGCGGCAACACCGCTTTCCAGTTAAAAGGTTAACTGCATAGAATGAAATAGGTAAGGTCCGTTTCACCAGGGTTCATACTTGACCTTGAAACTTGAAAAAAAAGGGTTGTCGTAGATTAATTCATATGACACATTCAATTTTTTTGACAAATTAAAATGATTTAAGAACCGACGAACGTTTTTGACGTCATTAATTTGTTTCAGTCAATTTTGATTTGTTAAACAAAGAAGGCAAATGCTGGTGGCAAGTACAAACCCTGGCGAAACAAACTTTAGGTACCTCAATTTTCAGGTATCTATTCCAATAAAATTTGTTTCATATAAATATAGTTTCTGTTCGACGCATCACTCCAAAATCAAAAAATATACTAACCACCCAGTTATTCAATTGGCAAATAGAAAACATCTACCTTTATCCTCGTATAATTATAAATACCGGGAAGTAAATAAGTAGATAGGTAGAAGACCCCATCATAAATGACCTAAGCCTAACTACGTGTAGATTTTTCGCTTCCTTCCGCAGTTTACTTACAAAGTTAAGGGGGCTTCAATTTCTCCCTACGCAGTTTACCTGTACAAAAGGATATTATCCGCAATTTACCTTCTGCGTTCAATAGAATTGTCCAGCGTAACATTCTAGGGAATAAAACTTCTGCAATTTGTTTGTCTTTTCCAAAAATTCGTAACAACGGATTATGGTTGGTTCTACTAATTACATGACTTCCATAGATATAATCGTGGAATTTTTTAACACCTGTCACCTCTGGAAGAGCCTCATGGTTAATTTGAGCAAAATTCCGTTCTGATGTTGATAATGTTCTACTATGATACGCCGGTGGTAATTCTACACCCACAGAATACATCCCACGCCATAAGGGCTAGCGTCACGTCACAAGTCACTATTAAAAGTTTCTTCTCATTATAGTGCCCTAACACTAGAATGTCTTTTAGTTAATTAAATGACTGCTCCTGCTATGCCCGCCACTGGAATACTTCATCCTTGTGTAACAACTTGTGTAAGGACTTTGCAATCGTAGCTTTGTCTTTTAAAAAAATGTGGTAAAAATTTATTTTTATTGAACCCAGAAAAGCTTGTACCTACTTCAGTACAGTAGGTCTTATCCCAGTGTCATTAATTTCAGATTCCAAAATAGTATATTATTCAACGAGCGGGTAATGATGGCTATTACTCAGGGAGAATGAAGTTTGCACTACGAGCCGCAGGCGAGTAGTGTAATCATCCGAGTGAGTAATAGCCATTACCCACGAGTAGGATACTATACTTTTTCTATGATTAATAGATAATAGGCACGAGTTAAGGTCGGGACAGATCTATCATGCATTCTTACGATCCGACTCCGATCAAACAATCAAGGTCCTTATTCTTAGAACAGGGGAGCAGCGGAACACTAGTTCTCCTGGGAACGCTGCTCCCTGTTCCAAGAATAAGGACCCTGATTGTATGATCGGAGTCGGATCGGAAGAATGCATGATAGATGTGTCCCAGGCTTTATGCGGTTTTTTATTTAATTTTCATAACAAAATTAATTGACAATTCTGACAACTACAGGACATAGTCAGGTTAGGTTAGCACAAGTCTTGTTTAAATCAGCTGTCAAAATGACCGATTGGAAGGTTGAAGTATATTGTCAACTTGTCGAATTTTCTGATTGGCTCTTAAATAGTGGAGTAATCAGACCAGTATATTGTCATTGGTTGAAAACAATTGAGAAATGAAAAAAAAAAACTCACTGCATGAGCAATCATTCACATTGATCTATAGAAAATGGATGTGGATATATATATTCAATACTCATAGAAAAATGTAATTTTTTTGGCATAAAAAAACACATTAATGTAACCCATCTTCCTGGAAACGAGTTAACAATTTTCTAATTTTGTTTTATAAATCGCTATCTGAAGTACCAACAATTGAAATTTCATCGTAGTAGGGTAAAACTCCTGGTATTCCCGGAAGTCTCAAGTCAATGAAACGTTGAAAAATCTGGGGCGCAACAGATACTCCAAACTGTAGCCTTTTACAACGAAAAGCACCACGATGAGTTATAATTGTTTGAGCATCGGCTGTAGTGTCATCCACTTTCAACTGCAAATAGGCTTGAGCCATGTCTAATTTTGCAAAAACTTTACCGTCAGCCAGTTTTTCAACAGCCTTTTAGAAGAGAATATAAGCTAAGTATTATTACCAGAATAATACTTAGCTTATATTTTGTAATTATTACATCCTCTTCTTAAGTCTCTGGTGATGGTTTTCAAAGATTTCCTTTTCAAGTGATTTTTAGGAGCAGAGCAGGTAACAGGTTATACAGGGTGCCTCAAAACGACCCAACTATTCCGATAGTAAGCCAGTCGCAAATAAAGGGTGGGAGTGGATTGAAAACGGCATTGCTGTCGAGGTCGGTCTTTCAATTTTCAATTTTTAGTAGTCGTCATATTATGGTCGTCATGTATTCCACAGGAAAGCAACGCGCGTTCTGCGTGCGAGCATTTTTCGAAAACGGATCACGTGACATCGAATGGCCGCATCGGAGTCCTGACCTAACCGAACCTAATTTTTTCTTTTAGGGTTATCTCAAGTCTATTGTTCACGAGAAAAACCCACGAAACCTGGCAGATTTGAAAAAGAACATTGAAAAAAAGATAAGGCAGATTTCCAGATAATTTCTTGTGGACCTTTTCAGAAGTTTCCATGAAAACTTTAGAGAGTTCCGCAATGGAAATGGGCATCATTTATCAAATGTCATTATCAAGAAGTGGAAATTTATTTTTTTGTCTTTAGTTTAACCACAACAAATGATAATAACAATGAACAGATTTGTTTTAGATTTCAATTAAAATAGTTGGGTCGATTTGAGACACCCTGTATATTTAATTTTGGAAAAGTTTTTTTAACATTGTTGGGATTTTGAATGATTGCTTGAATTAAAGTCCCTCTGAAAGTTTCATTGCTTTCTTTGGAGTATAGGAAGTAGCTGTTTATCATTTTTACCCATAAAACACATTTGATGTAGCAAAATATCAATAACATATAGAATGTCATTTTATTTACACACAAACAACTCTCTCAATGTATCAGGCGCCATCTAGGGCGACGATTACTTTCCCCCTCAAGATATCGATTCAAAACCACCAGCTCCCTATAAAGACATATTATATTATGCATCGATTTTTTTTTTCAGGAATCCTACTGGCGTATTCCAACCACCCTCAATCCCGAAACCCTCAAAGATTATTGCGACGCAATCCAACAGGCCTTAGATAAAACACTCCACTTTGTAGAAGAAGACACTCCACAGGTCATCGAGAATCATGAAAGTTCAGATGACGATGACTTGTTTGATAAGCTAAGGAAAATGAGAAAGGACGATAGTGCTATGCCTGAGAGCTCAAAATCAAGTCCAGAGCCTGATGAGAGTTCAAAATTAAGTCCAGAGCCTGATGATGGTTCAAAATCAAGTCAGGAGTCTGAGAACCCAGAATCAGAACCTATGGATGCTACAACGGAAACTGTTCAGTTCACTGTACAAGAATTTACTATTGATGATGCTGAGGAAAATGTGAGTCCTCGTAAAAAAACCCGAGTAATCATCGAGAGTGACAGTGAAGATGAAAATGATCGTGAGAAAAGTGATGATGAAAACACTGAACAAAATAATCACAAGAATTTTAGAGCTATCGTTGATAGCGATAGTGATGCTGGAGCAGGCAAAGATTTAGAAAATGAAAAAAGGTTACGATCTACTTCTGACTCCGATAGCGAAAAACCTACCGCTAAGCGTGGCAGAATTCTTGATAGTGATGATGAAGATTAAAAGTGTGTCTCAACATTTTATTTAGTTTCAACCCAAAGAAGTGTCTTTGTTGAAAAATGATTAAATAATACATGGTAATAATAATATGTTTGTTTTATTTTAGAATAACATTGTTACAAATTAGCACAGGTTTTCACATCCAGAATTTCCAGTTTTATACGGAGCCCTTGGGTAGTTTCCACTAGAAAAAGCATGCATTATTATTTTGTGCAAACTACTGCAAACAGTATTCATCAATGTTTTGTCTGCGTCTGAATTACTTACGCTGGTCCATAGTTGCAAACATAAATTTTCTGATATTTCATATTGCCATTGCTTATTGGGAAGTATGTGTAGCCGCAACCTACATACTTTGTGTCATCCCATGCCATCTAAAATATCAGCTTTTATTAAAAATTATTAAACAATAATAATAATTAACCTGTGTATAATGTCCCGTGGCCATAGAAAATCCTCCAGGATATTTGTACTGACGATATTCGTTCCACCAGTTCATAATTGGTTCGCTCCAATTGGCTCCTTTTCTGTCATTCGATGACCAACTTGTTGCTATGTTTTGACCCACCTGCCATCTAGCTACATAGAAAAATCGAAAACGTACAAATAAAATGGGACATCCAATACATACGATCAGAAACCCGCACGTGTCCATAAACACAAGTATTGGCTATATTCTGAGCGGCCTGAGCAAGTCTGTCATCCCAATACTGAAAAAAATATAATTTGAATCTGTTGGCAACAAGGTTCTGATTAACGAATGAAGGCTTTCACGAGTTTCACTGCCGGTCAAATCTAGTAAAAAAGTTTTTTTCCGGGCTATAATGCCGTGGTCCATTAGTATTTCTACCTAACGTTTCGTCTACTGTTGTGGTAGACATCTTCAGAGGCGGTATGATAGCGGACGAAGTGTTCTCTTCCGTGTTCCTCCGATGACTGGATTCGACGTTGTTGGAACTGCGTTATTTATATCCAGGATTGTGAGCGTGGCTCGTGTTAGGTACGCTATTTTCTTTGTTGCGTTCTCGGAAAGGAAGGGTTTCTGTTTTTCGGAGAATTGGCAACCAGCTTTTGTTGAGGTTCATGCCCTCTTCTTTTCTGTTGAAGTTATTGTGGTGTTTATGTATCTCTGTAGCTTCTCTGTGGAGTCTGGTGTAAAAGTGTTTGGCTCTATCCAATGCTTGAGTTTGGTCGAAACGAATGACATGGTTTGTTTGTGTAAGCACGTGTTCGGAGATTGCTGATCTATTTATTTGTCCTGGTGTTGATAGAGCGTTTAGTTATTCCTACATAGACACATTCACAAGAACAGGGAATTCTATAGACGCCAGCCGTTTCAAAAGGTGCCCTAGGATCCTTGGCCGATTTTAGACTTTGCTAGATTGTTCTTGTGGGCTTGTAGATAGGCTCAACGTTGTGTTGGTTCCTTGTTATTTGTGCGCTGTTGCTTCGGTCTTATAGCTCTATTTATTTCCTGCTTGTAGTACCCATTTCCTTCGCGATTTTATCGCGAAACACAAAGACTGGGGCAGCCCTAGATCCAACCAAAGAGGAATGTCCATACAAGAAAACAGAGAACGACCTAACTATAATATCTGGCTACCAGACGAACCCACTCGAATCGGACACCACGGAGCGCCAAGTGTGCTAGATATCTTCATCCACAAAAACATCCACACACTATCACAACCACACGTCATTCATCAGCTATCATCAGACCACCTCCCAGTAGAGATCGAGTACGGGCACCCGGCAGAGCGAACACCCAACAGAAAGCGCTCCACGTTCATAAACTGAAACACTTACCAAAACCACCTGGAAAGACAAGAACCGATAAGAGAAATAACCACCATACCGGAGCTGGAAGGAGCCATAAACACTCTGACGGCTAACATTGAGCAAGCCCTAAATGAGGCTCAAAACACCTACTACCCAGCCACACACAGACAAAAGCTACCACAAGAAATAATGGATGATATCCGCATCAGGAACAGACTGCGGAAAATCGTCATTAGAACACGAGACCCATACCTCCAACGAAAACTCAATCGAATGAACCGACGGATTCGCATTCAAGTCAACGAATGCTACAACGACCAATGGCAGAACAAACTTGAATCCATCCACTGTACAGGCAAAGACTTATTTCGACTGGCCAAGAACCTAACTAGAGGACCACGCAAAGCAGTAGGAAATCCATGAAATCATTGCGAGACTCGAATGAAGAAATGCCCCAGAAAAAAACAGTATAACAAATATGGTCCTAAAGAAACTACCACCAAGGCAAATATAAGACATAACAAGGATCACGCAAGCCATACTCAATCTTTCGCACTTCCCCTCCAAGTGGAAAGAAGCCAGCATAATACTGTTCAGGAAACAAGGGAAATCAAGCAGCTATCCCAAAAGCTACAGACCCGCCTCAACTTGTTGCCAAACGAACGAATAGGCTTCAGACAACAACACTCCACCACTCACCAAGCCACAAGACTCGCTTAAACTATACTAAAAGGGGCCAACAGAAGAATGGAAACAGGGGCGGTGTTCCTAGACATATCCAAGGCATTTGACAAAATGTGGTACCAAGGTCTGATACTCAAAATGCTAAGAGCCAATGTGCCTCACTACATGGTCAAACTAATCAGTTCATTCCTAAGCAAAAGAAACTTGACCAGATCAACTCCCAAACAAATTTAAGCAGGCGTGTCACAAGGTTCATCGCTCAGTCCCACACTCTTTAACTTATACATGGCGGATATCCCAAGATCCAGAAAAACCTCGCTATTGGCCTACGCAGATGATACGGCCATCACTGCTACCGCCAGAAGCAGACCGATTATTATCAGAGCCCGACTCCAGCGTCACCTTGGTGAACTTGAAAACTGGATGGACAGATGAAGACTGAGGGTCAATCCCGGAAAAACCCAAGCTATCATGTTTGGCAAAAACCAAAAGTGGAGAAATTGAAATGGAAAAACACGCCACTCAACTGAAACAAAACAGCCAAATACCTGTGAATCCTCTTCGACAATCAACTGGAAGAAGCACATTGAGTATGTCAGGGACTAAGCACAAGCCCAGCTTAAACAACTCTACCCCCTTCTCAACCGAAAGAGTAAACTAAACTGTAACATTTGAAATGTCACAATAGTATATAGCCGAACGTAGTGAGGCTTGCAATGCTGCTGAAGCACAAAAAAGTGCTTCTACTCCGTAAGCTCGGGACCAAGTGAATGGTTGAGCGGCAGTAAAAGTACGAGCGGCACTTAAAGTACTTTTGCTGCCGCTGGGGTTGCCAAACAGCATAGAAATTAAATTTCTACCACCTCGACAGATGTTAACCTGCTGGATTTGCCTAGCAACACAGAAATTAGATTTCTGACATCTTGACAGGGGTTAACAAAGTGACATTTTTTTGACGTTTGGAGAAAATAGTTATTTATGTACCAAGGCTTGTAAGTGTTACTTTTTTGGCCGAGGATGCAGTTTGCAAGCCGAGGCCCGTAGGGCCGAGGTTTGCAAACATTTGAGGCCAAAAAAGTACACGCTACAAGTCGATGTGCATATGATATTTTTTGTGCTACCGTACATTCAAGATAATATTTACTATAGTCTCTGTATTTATGAAAACCTATTAGGTTTTTTTTTTCAAATTTAGGATGCAGTCGACCAGGCTGTTTTCAATGACATTAACACAATTAACAACTTCCTTATTAGAATTTTTATAATTAACTAATGGCGTTTCCGATTGGTAGATCTATACCTTTACAACTTCAAATTGAGACTTATCACAATCAAATTGAGAATAAACATTTTCAAATTGAGATTAAACAAAATCAAGTACTATTTCGTACACCTAGCGACATCTATGATTCTTCTGACTAGTTTTCCCATAGATTTAATATCTACTAATGTGGCAAGATAGGTAACACCCTATCTAAAAGCATTGGAGCAAGGTGGCACAAACATGTGTTAAGAATCTCTACGTATTCCCAAGAAATACGTAGAGGTATTTTATTAGAAACAAAGGCTCCCATAAGCGTATCCATAAAAAAATCATTTTTTGAAATATATATTTAATTTCAGAAAAAGGTAGTTTTAAAAATGATTAATTCGAGCACGTAAACTGAAAGCAAACTGGGGCCTTATTTTTGAAACAGGAGAGCCGCGTTCCCAGGAGAACGAGTGTTCCGTCTTTGTTACTTATATTATTATTTGCATATTATTGAGAAAGACGCAACACTCGTTCTCCTGGGAAGGCTGCTCCCCTATTTCAAGAATGAAGACCCTGGACTGTTTCCAAAAAAAAAATACATGAGATGAGTCTGTTTCTGCAGAAATCACAAACCAGTCAAAGCGAATTTCATTGGTTGAAAACAGTCAGGAACAGTCAGAAAACTAGTTTCAACCAATGAAATTCACTCTGACTGGTTTGTGATTTCTGCAGAAACAGACCTAATATTTCGTTGGATTTTTTTTTTTTTTCATTTTTTGGGGATTTGTATCAAAAAAGGGTAGCTTTGTAATAATTTAACAACAGTACCATAAAAATCAATGTTTATTCAGAATATTGATAATAATATTACAAGAGTTGAGGTAGCTACTGACAACAAAAATATACTTAAAGCAAATTGATCAATAATGCAAATACTGAAAATATAATGCACTGAACTTTCAAGTGAATATTGGGTGGTATGAATAAAAACGAAGTATCTGCTACTACTATAAGTATTAGTAGATTCTCCGTAGTATTTACTTTAAAACGAAGTAGATACTACATTTCAAAACTACCGGAAATTAGTAAATCCTTCTTTTTGAAGTGAATACTAAGTAGATTATATCTACTAATACTTGTAGTAGTAGTAAGTACCTACTTCGTTTTTATTCATACCACCCATTGAATACTTACGAAAAGTACTATGAGTACCTATATGTTTTAAGTTGACTATAGTATCAGAATGATATTATTGTCACCATTAAGGACGCCATGTATGATTTAAACTTAGTACCTAGTACCTTTTAACCAAATGATAAATTTTTGAACAATTCCACATTAAAGCAGTGAAACACCCAAAAAAGTCGATAAAATAAACATACAATAATATATATTGACATTTACGCTGGTACGGAAATCGGTTTCTATTGGGAACCACCCAAACAACATACTCTGTTTAGCTAGACTTGTATAGTGTTCTTTTCGTTCATATATTGCCTTAGAGAGAGATGTCTGAAGATCCAAAATCTAAACGGTTTTTTGGAAATCGTACTATAGAAAACAAGCGTAAACAAAGTAAGAGAGACAAAATCAAAATATTTGGAGAGAGATCTATGTACCATATTTGGGAGTTGATTACTCATCTTTTAGTGCTAACTATATATAATCTAAGAGTTTTCCTAACCTAATATCGAGAATTCTGTTATTTCCGAGAAACCTGTAGCGCTGTCATTTTTACGATTTCGACAAGCTTGACAGACGAAGAAGGAAAAGACAGAACCAATTTGGGTACTTTTGACTTGCCCCTTTCTCTTTTGTCTTGGGACCGAACCAGGTCATCTTTGTTTTTGGCCATCGAGTCCATAGTTTCGAACTTTAACTAGCCAGAAGAGTGCTTGATCGTGTCTACTAGAAAGTTTCCTGGAAAATCAAACGATTGTTGATTTTTGTAAAGATTTTGAAAAGTGAGATTACTATCGGCCATTCAGGTATGTAAATTCCTTTTTATCTCTGATAAATGAGTCATATTCCCCCAGTTCATTCAGGTACCTTGGCAGGACGAAAAATCCGCGCCTGCACTTCTCCAAGTGAA